AAATTCACAGTGATGATTACCTCAAAATTTTGCAAGGGGGTCGTAAAGTACGAACACTAAGCGGTGTTTACAGATACAGCTTGTTTGGATGGGGGAATGATGATGACGACGATTGCGATGGTGATGACCTGGATGGTGATGGTGACAAGGATGGCGAAGATGGCGAATGGGGGGAAGATGATGAATATGACAGTGAAGAAAGTCCCAGAAAAAGGTTCTACCCATCGGTACACAGGTTTCCCTCTCCAGCAGGGAATCGTTTTGGTTTTCCAACGAGAGCCCCGATTGGCGCCCCATATGTTACGGGAGTCCTTATTCCAGGAACGGGAGAGCTGGTATCGATTATTTTCAAAGCTGATGACGACGATGTCACTGAAAAGGGTTTTCAAGCAGTCTACCGTGTTAGACCAGGTGTGTTGATGATCATCAGGTTTTTTACTTGGAAATGACTTATTCTGTTTGTACATATGACGCTAGTTGAGCGACATTGCTAATCAAAGACGCTTGTCATTGAGTTCTCTGTTGTGTAGTGATAGAGTATGGGTGAAGTTCATCCTTTCGGAGACGAACTAAGATTCTATCCTACCTTCCATGTTACTCCACCAAAATTAAAAATTTCGTGCAATTTGGATGAATTATTAATTTTACATTTGATTTCATCTTTCATAAATTGGACTTTATTATTCCTTTCCTTTCTTTGATCCTTTAAAAGTTATCTGCAGTAAGTAATAATTCAAGTTCGACTTCCTTCATTTAATTGAAGATGTTAGACAAGACATGAATATTCTTCGTTGTGCAGTTTCCTATTTGAGAAACCCACCAACCAGAGAACGATTTCTTGGAGCATAAAAGTCTATAAAATTTATTTAAATTTGAAAATATTAATTGCATAAATTAAATTTTATCTGTTCTTTATCTGTTACAGGGGCAGCATTTCATGGATGATCCGATCAAATAGAGTAAACAGAATTTGAATGCTGCTTGTCTGGACACGACTCTATAAATTCCTTTTCGTTTTTCTAAGTTGTTTTAATTATTCGTATTTTTGCTGAATTTTCCTTGAAATAAGGTACTAGGACTCATTTAATTTTTTCACTTGCAGGGAAAAGACTACATTAAGATTGAGACCGCTTCATGTACATCATATTACCTAGATCTACTTCCATGTATTTCTTGCCAATTAAAAGTTGTACAGTTGTTTAGTCTGTCACCTTGAGATCTTTGAGAACGTCGATATCAAGTATTATGTGAAAATGATACCATTTAAAGCGAAGTTGGGGATGAAAATACATTCCCCTTAAACAAAGAATCTCACTTTGCAAATTAAGGATTAAAACAATTGGACTTTACAGAGAAAATGTCAGTTTTGTACTTTTATTCACGGATTAAAGCGCATCAGTATCCCCTTTCAATACTAAACAATATAGAACTATCACCATCGGCCGTTTTCCATTGTGGGTTCATATGACTGCATACCTAGAACAGACTACACAATTTTAATTTTAAATCAAATCCCAACACGCGTTGAATCACTAAATATCTGAATATTTTTATATTCAGTCGGTATTCTGTCGAGGCATAAAAGTATTTGCTTAAATTAAGGATAGTCCACCTATGCGCAGTGGTGGTGAACGAATTTCATCCAGTTGAGGTTGTCTGTAAACTAAACCGTAACAATTAACGCGACCCTTTCTCCGGTCAATATAACATTAAGTGATCAAGCAATCTCTGTTCCTATGAAGAGCTTTATCGCTTGCGGAAGCTGGAGCTTGCTGTTAATTTGAAGAAACCCAGAAAGTTTGAAAAGGAACCTAATTAAATTGTTCTGAAGAACATCCTGCTTGTCCTAATGGTAAGGTTCTTATCGCTTGGGACGCGCTAAAAAAAAGGATTTTGATTTTTTTATTCTTTTCTGCTTTTCTATGTATACTTGAGCTTGTCAGTACGTATAATATTCATTCTTATCTGGGTGAAATGGTTTTTAACCTAGGACATATAATTGCAGTCGAGAAACGAAATAGGGCTAAACACCACATTTACTTTTTTTTCTCATGGTTTTCACTCTTCCCTTATTTTCTACTTCCTTAATTTAGAGTTATGAGTTGGAAAAAAATGCCATGACATCTCGAATCGTAAATGCATAATTGGAAGCAAATTGACTATATTCGGGTTGCGATTTCAATCAGTTCATTTGTTCATTGTTGTGTTATGGATAAAACGAAGTTAAAAACTGAAAATAACCAATAACCCCATTATACACGTTTGCACGCCCAGTCCGTACATCTTTTTAATATATATGGCTTCTGTCGCTACTCCTAAATGTCGCCTAACTTGTGACATCGAAAACATGACGGTTCCAAATGGAGGAACGGTTACTAAGTACCACGAGTAGTCACCACGCAAATTCTCTCCTAGAGATTTTATGGCTTTTTAACATACATGAAATGATATTTACAGTGAGTAGTTTGAGCCGAGGAGCAACTTTTGACCATGTAGTCCCAGGCGTGCATTTATAAAGAAAACGTACTGATGATATGACCTACGCATGAGTAGCCTATTGGTTATTCTTTAAGAGAGCGGGTCTTAGAAGTGCTAAGATTCCTGTTTGTCATTCTTAAGTTTTACGTTGTTTGTCACGAAAGGAGTGTTTCGTTTTATGTCATATCAATATTATTGTTTTTTTTGTGCGTAAAAAGGGCATTTTGTTAAAAATTTTTGTCACTTTGGCATGATTACGCAAAAAATTGACTGTCTACAGTAGTATTCCGCGAGTACATTGCATGTAAATGACAGGTTTGTTACCACGGAGGGACAATATCAACTCGCAAGGTGCTTAAAGAGTTAGGTCTGCACCCTCCCTGAGTACTGTTTTCACCAGCTGTCTTCTTTTCGCTTTCACCATTCTCGTTTGTTCGATAGCATTGAAATAAATATAGTCTTTCTTCTAATTTGTTTTCCTCTGTGTAGTAGCGAACTTGCTTAACTGATGTGCAACGAACGTGTGGCAAACTTCGACCATAGCCGACTCTTTATGTAACGAAACTGGCTTAAATTCATTATACTGCCCTTTTTACGCTGATGAAACCGACTTCGAATTGAATGATTCACTAGCTTTACTATTCTACACATTCAGACAGTATCAGTCTACTGAAAAATTCGCCGAGCGGCGCAATGTTGCCTCACCGATCTAACGTTTAGCGGTGGCGATATCTTTCCGCCGCAAACGATATATCGCTAAGCTGCAACGATATTTCGCTTAGTATAAACGAGATATCGTTAGGCGACAGCAATGTATCGCTGAGCTAAAACGATATATCGCTGTAACAAAATTAAAATAAAGAAAAAAAGAAAACAGCAATACTATTGTTTGTTTTCATCATGAGGGCGAAACAAGAGAAACGAAACAAAATCACTCAGCCTCTGTAACGTTTTCATAGTATTGTTTACCAGAAGTTGCGTTAGCGGAAGTTCTCGGACATTGTAAACATGCAAAGGATCATGGATAGTTGTGTGGACCATGCTTTCCGGGTGTCAAGACGGCTAAATAAAGTATAGTTTCTTTTTATAGTTAAATCTGGTTTATTACACGGCCATCCGGGCGGCATCGTTATAGCCTCGTTTTCAACTCGCAATTCCACGCTAAATACCTCGCTTCGTTAACTAATCAGAATGCGAGATTTTACTCAGTTATGCAATTCTAACTGTAATTAGGGACAGGGAATGCGACGCGATTGTGAATATGCCTCCAGATATGAAATGAATCCTACTGGTTAATGGTTCATAATATAAAACGGGTATATTATGCCATGAAACAACTAATACAGCAAAGGGGAGGGCTAATTATCTAGCTTTGGTCAAGTTCACTAATATTGTTAAAACTTAGCCAAGAACCCATCTGCGCCCCTTAAAAAGCTAGCGCTTGAAAACTTAATTTCCTCATTTGTTTCTCACAAATATTCGAATAACTTGACCACCGAAAACGGAACGTTTTAAGAAGGCCTCTTACGAATGTATCAATTTGTACTGAGCTGAATCAGTAACCAACATCAAGGAGTAACATCTACAGCTGATTATGAGGCAACTTTCTCACGGTCTTGGATTTTAGACATTAACTGCATGTAATAACCTCTATGTCTTAAATTTGTTAGTCGCATTTATGTTCTGTTTCGGTTAATATTGATTTTAGGCTCTTTGTCATTTTTTTCACGCAAACTAAATAGATATAGTGCAAATAGATTTAATTCATTTGGGAAAACATTTCAACTTATATTAAGACATTTTGCAAGAAAAAAGAGATCTGTTTTTACTGATCTATCGATGGCAATGACTTTCTTAAAGTTTTGTAAAATGGAAATGAAAATCTCACAAGTAACTTTATTTAAAGTGCGTAAATTGTATTAAAATTTTGTTAAATCTATTAGTCTAAAGTGATTATTTATTTAAGTTTTAGAACGTTTTTGTACTAGTTTTTATATACAAACATCAGAGTTCAGTTGCTCCACGCTAACTAATGATCATCATGCGCGCAAGCCTCCATTTAATTACATCAGTTACCACATAAGATATACCTAACTGTCTCAGTATATTTTCCGTTGAATATCCTCCACGACGGGTAATACACATCGGTAACAAACGCCAAGGGAATAATAATACGCTGCAATAGAAACCCTGCCTTGTTTGCCAAACAACCTTTGCAAGCGATGGTCACGCATTTACTGTTTACCACGGAAGAATTGAAATCGCTAGTGGTATATAGTTCTTGGCGAGCTTTTGTAAATGTTTTTTAGCAGTCGATACGTTTCTTGCTCTTTCGAAAACAGCTTTTTCTCGTATTTGGTTTAACTGATTTGATTTAGCTGGGGCTGTTCTGATGCTGTTTGCTCTGTTCTTAAGTTTTCGGTAGGTTAGCCAGCTCACCAAGATAAACAGCAACCACGAACAAGCGCAACATACATTGAGATAGACGATGTAGTAAATCTTTTCGTCGATTCCTGAGAAAGACAAACACGTGACAGGAGGAGAAATGGGACACATAGTAGAGTGGTCACAAAAGGTCGCTTGATTGGTAGCTTTTACTCGATGAAATCGAGGGTGCACGTTCGACTGGTGCCTCTCAATGTTGATACCTAACTGGATTGCTAACTTAGAAGCAATCAAAGAATCTGTTAACAGAGAAACGCAGCTAGGAAAATCAAAGGAATCTGACTGGTACTTCACACCTTGAAAAATCTCAGTGACGCCAACAGACGGAAGAAGAACTGTACCGACCAAAAAGGAAAGCTCGAGACCAGTATCTTCGATGCTATGGAACGGCTTTCGAATTACATTTAAAGGATTCTTCACAACTGCAATGATCATGATTAAACTTCCCACGGATGCCACTGAGGCCAAAACAAAACAAGTGAGATCGTGCCATTAAAAAGCAAAACCGTGGCATGGAATCCCATGGCGAAGTGTTTTTGTTTGACTTTGAGAGGCCGGATGCGATGTTCATTACCAAAATAGCATCTGCTATAAGTTATGACAGTTTCAAAACGCAGTATTTGATGAAAATATGAATACATTATATATATTTGAATAACACATCCATTGCAAAGGTCTTTACCTTGGTTTTAGTTGGGAGGCTCACAGTTAATCCAATGAAAAATTACTTGGATAATAAAATTCAATTGTCTGTATCCTTGGAGCTTCGGTAAATTAAAATAACCGTTGAGGTCACTTTACCATTTTCTGGGTGAATACTGAATGTTTATATATTAAGAGTAAATAAGTCAATCTGTAAAGCATAAGAAAGATATTCCATCCACTCCAACTCTGTATAGAATAGTGACTTAAATTGACCGAAATCCGTTCGTGAGATTATAACTTTGCGTATCGACTCCATCGCAGTTCAGTAGGTTCTATAAGAAAGTACAACTTGTGCTATAAATCGCCCCAAGAGCCCATCCATTTTGAGTCTCCAAATTAACTACATCACAGCGTTTCATAATACACATTTGGCAGCTGCGACAGCCGTTTGAATAGTGCCTGTGAGCCTGCCATACTGGTTTAAAGTTAAAAATAGATAGCAAAGAAAACAAACTTTGTTAGCTTACAGGGCCGTGCGTGCGTTTGCGGTTTCATTTGTTTTAGGATATATACTATGAAGTTTGTTATCTGATCCTGAGGAAGGATTTCACCATCAGTAATTCTTTTAACTGTTATGACTTATTCAGTAATGGTGTTACCATAACAATTAGTGAAAACTAAAATATCAGACAAGTCAGCCTTCAGTGACAGCCATTTTTTTTTTTTTTCAATTGTAATAATATACACCCTAAATGACGGTCTATTTTATCAACAATTAGTTGTAAACTCTTTGGAATAAGTTACTGAATTTTATCGCAAACCATTCTGGAATAAGTCTTTCCATAAATGCACAGACATAATATTAGACTTCATTTTACACTTATCTAGATCTCCTCTATTTTTTCTTATGGTGAATGCTATTATGTTGCTATTCTAGTGAAAATCATGCAAGCCAGTCTCTCATCTAAGATCTATTTTCTATTGAGTGTTCATGAGGAGCCTCTTACTAGTCACGCAACTATGAAGAAGATAAAGAAGCTAACTAAATTAAATTCAAAAATAAATGTTTCAAGGGCCCTCTCTTGACGATTAAAAAAAAAATTACATGTTCTTTTAAAAGTAGAATTAATGGATTATTTAATAATTGTAACGAGCCAATCTCTTTCACGGAATTGATGAAAAAAATTCTCTCCCACCATCAGTTTTGACACAATATTTAAATTGAAATTTTCCCTGGTTTGCTCTCTGGCTGTCAATTCATAAATCAAGTAGAGGCCATTGAATTAGAGCAGACAAATGCCCTCCTTTTTAAATGGATTTGCGCTACTAATGTTGACAATTGAGCCTGTTTGGGTTTTTTGAAAACTAAAAACGCCAAAAATTTATATTTTCAGTTTCTAACTTATATTACAGAGAAATGAAGCTGATGCTCTTTGGTTGGCATCTTTATTACTAATATTAATAAGAATCTCGCTAAGGAAAAAGAAATAAATACCGAAAAAAGGGATCATCAAGAAAGAAAGAACAGAAATCTCCAAGGAAGGAAGTGTAAAATATAACCATAATAAGTACTGGAACGAGTTTTTTAAATATTTCTGTGCAAGTTTATTGACGATCATTTAAGATCAGCAGAACCATTGATTCTGCGTTAAATTTTTCGAAAAAGGCCTTTAACTGAGTTGTAATATCTTTCCAAGTGTGAGAGTTATGGGTCCAACAACATATGGTAGAAACAGTAACGGTAGAGAAAATCTCTGCCATATAAACCTTAATTGTTTGTTGAATAAACGTGGTTGGCGGTCCCTTTAGCGAGTGTAAAAACAAACCACGGAAAAATACATAAAAGCAACGGTATCATGACCGAAACTACGACGGTCAAATACCTTCTGGCTGTGCGTGCGCTTCGTTTCCTGTGGAATTCCAATTGTTCTATTGACGGAGGAATCTCACTACTCACAATGCGGTTTCTATTTTTCAGTTTCCAGTAAGTGACGAAAGTCGAAGCCAGAATAAGCGAAAACGGCTCGGTAAAGAAGAGATGAATATGAACGTTGAAGTAGACATTTTTGTCTATCTTCGTAAAAGATCTAGCGACAAAACGCAACGAGAATAACACTGCAGTCAATAAAGCGATAAAAGTCCTATTTTTTTTAGTTATTCGGCGATGCAAATGCGGAGAGTTAAAAGCAGCACCGCGCTCGATTAAAATAATCAAGGCCATTTGTACTTTCGATTGCGCGAAAACGAGGAACGCTGAGAATAAGACGCTCGGAAATAAATGTTTTTTCTTGCTGATGTCAAGGCCATGTAAAATTTCAGCGACTCCAAAATATTGCATAAACAGTGTAGCATTCATAATGTTGGCGTAGAAAAGACCTTTGTGAATTTGTGGGCAGGGGATANAGAATAAGCGAAAACGGCTCGGTAAAGAAGAGATGAATATGAACGTTGAAGTAGACAGTTTTGTCTATCTTCGTAAAAGATATAGCGACAAAAAGCAACGAGAATAACACTGTAGTCAATAAAGCGATAAAATTCCTATTTTTTTTAGTTATTCGGCGATGCAAATGCGGAGAGTTAAAAGCAGCACCGCGCTCGATTAAAATAATCAAGGCCATTTGTACTTTCGATTGCGCGAAAACGAGGAACGCTGAGAAGACGCTCGGAAATAGATGTTTTTTTTTGCAGATGTCAAGGCCATGTAAAATTTCAGCGACTCCAAAATATTGCAAAAACAGTGTAGCATTCATAATGTTGGCGTAGAAAAGACCTTTGTGAATTTGTGGGCAGGGGATATCTGATGGTTGCAAAGAAAATAAAAACGTTTTCAGAGCAGATAAATGTGGCAAGAAAAATCGATAAGAATCCATCACTGATAAGAATAATTCCCTTCTGGTCATCTAAGCTGTCTTCTTCGTCTTTCAGTTTCTTAGTTAGGTTGATCATCTTGCAAAGCTGTTCAAATCAAAGAAGCAACAACATTCAAATGACCATGATCTCTATTTCAGCATTCGGTTTTCTCCCGTGTAACTTTGCAAACTCATTTCTAAACTTTTACCGTCTCTTTTCTACACTTAGCCAATGCGAACGAGCTTATAATAGATGGGAGTAAATTCGTGGGTTTATCGGAAAAATAAATAAACACAACGAAAGACATTTATAGGCTGAATTACGAGCGCATTTTGATTGGTTCATACTTATGATCTTATGGGGAACAGACGCATAGATGACGTCATTTTTTTTTTGCCTCCTAATAAAATAAAACAGATGAAAATCATGTTGGCGCGGGTCTGTTCAGTAACAGACCACAGATGACGTCAAAATGTGTTAAGAACATTTTTGGCACACGCAGCATCCGCCACAGTTTAACGTCATTTGTGGTCTGTGATCTTTTATCTGTTAGAAGTTCGAATTCACATGGAAAATGGCCGGCATTGTGTAAGGGCAAAACGAAACCGCTGACGGTCGCCCAATCATCCTCGATGCGTATTGAAATTATGGGAATGCTCTTTCAACTAAACTTATCGAAAGACATTAACTACTCACAACAGCATTGAGTACACTGGGGTACTGTACGGAAACAACGAGCTTTTTAGCAAGCTGTTTAATACGATTATTTTAAAATCACAGTTTTTCAGGTAAGGCATTTATGGAAATTTTTGTGAAGGTCTTCAAAAAGGTATTTCGCATTTTTCATAGAGAATATCACATAATATTGATATCAACTAATTTAAATTCTAATCTATTGCTCATAGGAAGTAATTTTTCCTTCTTCTTGGTTGGAAATCGAAGGATAATTAGAAAAAATTAGACCTCAATAGGCCAAAGGGAGAGAATAAAAAATTGTAACATTTTTATGCAGGGACAATTGAGCCACATGCAGACGTGCGGAGAAAAATTATGGAAAACATTCCAATCAGATAAATGATACCTTTGAGAAATCCTCTACAGCCTCAAAAATCTTTATTTGCATTTTTTTTAAGCTGGAGTAAAATCATTCAGTGAATATGGAGGAAACCTAAAGTACAATAAAAATCAAAACTTGATAAGACCATCGGCAAACTTCCATGGGGGACACTTTTCTGAAGATCCGACAACTCAACGGCCAGAATGAGCTATGAGAAATTTTAAGAAAATGGTTTCATCAGTATTTCGAGTTTAATCAAAACTATAAAAAATTCTCGGACGTGATTGGTTTTGTTTTTAATCTCGTAATTAGCAAATTGGATTCCGCACTTCGCTGTCCGATTTTGCTAATCTTACCTATGGTCGATCATAAACCTAAGTGGACTCTATCCCTCTTATCATCATTAAGAATAAGTTTTATTAACATTAATGATAAACATGTAAAAAATTTTACCAATTTTAGTTTTTATTACACGACTCGGGCAGTCAGAGGGCCAATAACTAAAATCAACCAATCAAAATGCTCTATTGCCGGTCCAATATTCTCTCAGTATTGGACCGGGCACTGTCCCGAATGGTCCCGAATGATACCGCACTTGTGTCCCTTTGAACTTCAGTCGTATAATAAATCTCTTATTAACCAAGCTTGCTCGGGACCGTACTGGAAGAATATCGGCCCTCGGTCTTTTTTGTACGGACCTCGCTGCGCTCGGTCCGTACTGTCAAGACCTCGGGCCGATATTCTCCCAGTACGGCCCTCGCGCTTGGTTAATAAGATATATTTATTGACTGACGTAGTATGGAGCGATACCAATAACTAATACAATAACTATCCTCTTAACTTAGCTACGGAGCGAAATTAATACCTGTACAATAACTATCCTTTTAACCTACAGCCCTCTATAAATACTATAACTTCAAACTCAGTGTACTACTGCACAACTCACGGTTCTCTTTAAAGATCCTTGTCGCTTATCAATATTCACAACACTTTTCCAGGGCAGCCTT